CCCTCCCCCTTTTTGAAAATTTCTGGCTACGCCCCTGCTTGGAGATAACCCCTCCCCCCCCCCCCCCCCCCTCCCCCCTATATTTCTAAGTGAGTTCGCGTGACCTTTCTTTGATCAAATCCTCTTTAAAAAATCAGCATATGATATCAAGATTATTAAATATCACAAGCAAACAAACCCACGTTAAAACGGATCAATAACAGATGGTTTTAGTACATTAATACCCCACTTATCTGGAAAGGAATAATATTATCCCGCCGTCAGAGGTTCGGGCCATTTTCTTCTGGCGAAATAAGCAAATATTCGTTTGCTTGAACGTATTTATACGTCAATTGGTGCTCCCGAAGTATGCGAACCAAGATGGCGGACATCGGAACGTAACATGGGTAACAGGTTAGGGCGAAGTTGGCAAAGTTTTTTCCAATTTTCCTTATTTAAGTCCTATTATCAGTTCGAAGACTAGCCAAGAGCCTCCCGTAGTATTTATACCTAAAATTATGGCCTAACCCTAACCTAGTACACATATTACATTTCGATGTCCGCCATCTTGGTTCACATACTTCGGGAGCCCCCGTCAATTTATGTTAGCGTGTAAGGTTCGACCCTTTTTTTTTTACATGGCATGGCATGCCATGAATTAATTATTCGTTGTTGTTACGCGAAACGAACTTCCTATCCTCCCTCAATCCCCCTACGCCAATGGCGTGCAGCTAATTAAAAATGAAAATACTTGTTAGATATGATCTTGTCCGCCTTATTTTAAATATATATTTACATTCTATATTGTTTTCGGATAAAACATACTTTCGCCTCGCTATCTGTTATTTGTAGCTTATGGTTAGCTACGGTAGTTACTTTTGAGGTGGAGAGCGATACTTGGCAAAATATAAAACTGTAAAAGGGAGTATAATGCATGGATGCTGTAGAAGGAAAAACATGACTATTTAAAAGTAAATTTGTTTATCGCTGCATTCAAATCGCACGATTCCTTTAATTTAAGTGATTCAAGAGTCTTGCTGCACACTAACACAAATATATTACTGTAACGTTTCGTCTGACCAGGGTCGGACTTTATCAGAAATACATTGTTCAACTATAACAAGAAAAGCAGTTACGTGCATAATTGAACAATCGGTGTGAAACTATAGGAGTTACGCATGTTGGAAAATAATAAAAACGACGAATTCTTGATTAAATGGCCTTTTTGTCATTTTTGTAAACCGCTTGTCGAAAGAAGTCTGACATCGGCCAGGCGAAACGATACAGAAATAATAATATATTTATAAAATAACTGCATTTGTGTTTGTGTACAACAACACTCTTGAATTGCATATCATAAATTATTGTAAAACTTTTTCATTCGTATCGCCGCTTGATAATCAGTGCAGGTTATTCGCGTTTCCCATCACCATGAAATGCAAATTTTTTCTCCATACTGTATGTACAATGTGTATTTCCAGTACGGTGAAAATAAAAAAATTGCTGACTGCCGTTTTCGCCTTTATATAATCTGACCCATATTCATCCCATCGAACGTATTATAAACATACATTGTTGTATTATAATACAAAACAATTGACCTACTTATGACATCATAAACATAAGGAAAGAGATTTTGTCTGCGTAAAATGGATTGGAATTAACAGCGATTAACAATAATTCTATGAAGATTAAATTGTATTTTCTCGTTCGCTCTAGTTTTAGAACGTACTGCCTTAGTAATAGCCGACTTTGATTAGTTTTAACAGCTGTCTATGAAAGTTATGCCAGATTAACTACCTACATTTCCGCAGACTATATTTTTCGCTGGGTCCATATGCTGCAGCAAGAATAAAGATGACTGTTCTGGGCTGCACATTTCACATTAGTTATCATTTGTACTGAAGATTGAATAACGTTTTTTATGAATGAGATCTTGTGCTGTAAGTTATTTGTGAGTGGAAGAGCACTTGGCTAACAAGCGAATATTGCGAGTTCAAGGTATTGTTGTATACCTTATCTTAACAAGCAGAGTTCCCATAAAATAATACTAAGTTGCGATTACTTTTTCGGTCACTGCGAGCGTCCAAGATAGGATAGTGTCTATTGCAAGCGAAAGCCGACAAATCGATCTTTGACTCGATCTTTTTCATAGTTTCTTCGGCTTATGAGTTGTACTATATATCAGTCTTTTTGAAGCGGATATACATAAAAATAGATACGTTAGGAGTAAAAACAAAGGGACTTTATGGGATCTATAGCGCTTCCTTGAAAAGACAGAATTATCGCGAAACTGGTTTTACTCATGGATTGTACCTAACCAAAATAAATATTGAAAACTCGTTGAAGATCACCAAACTCATCTACTCTATTAAATTAAGAACAACATGTACGGATTAGTATATCTAAATAATCTGCATTGACTCTATTTGTAACTTTACGTTTTTGTGTATTGCGAGGGGCGATAATTAGGTATAAAGTGCTGTAAACGGACACATAAAGTTTGAGAACCGCTGATTCACATAACTTAAAAATGAACTTGGCGAACTTGACACCAAATGTTACCCATGCGCCGTTTATTTCATACAGAACATGTCGCGTTCATCAAGGCGGGGAAACCGATACCTTGGTATCGCCTCAGGGCTCGAGCGAAAATGGGAACTTTGGAAACCACCGCGTGGGCGACCGTAGGGCTGTCGTAGGTCAATATTTAGTTCCTTCGGGAACAAAATGCCCACAATCTGTTATAAACCTCATTATGTCGAGAAGCATTGACTGTAATAAAATAGCAGTAAATATTTTAATATTTCATAGTCACGAATATCGCTTTTCTGTAGAGAAAATTTGGACCTCCTGAAGTATGCGCACCAAGATGACGCACGACCTGAACTCAGGTTGTGTACCAGGTTAGACTTCAGGTTGTGCGACATCTTGGTGCGCATACTTCAGGAGTACCGAAAATTTACTGTTATAAAATAACAGTAGTTGTATCAGCATTTTGAGGTAATTCGGAAAAGGATGTAGATGCAGTTGTCCCCGCTTTGAGCAAATTTTTTTATTAAAGGAGTAATTTATTTGCGTTGATACTCTTTCGACTTTATGTATTTCTTTTGCTCTTTGCACGGTTTTACACAAGAAACCTCAGATAGTTAAGGTACAGCTAGGTGGCAAAACCACAAATGAGGGTCCATTCATTAATTATATCGCTGTATAAATACTCGATAGGGAAATCATTTTATGCCGTTAACGTGAATGATAACTATGATAAAAGCAATTATAATCACTACCTATTACATTACCGCGAAATTCTCTCATCTTTACTGTATTTTTGAGCAGTACGGCTAACTGCATTAACTTAATATCTATGATAAGAGCAATTATAATCACTACCTATCACATTACCGCGAAATTCTCTTGTTTTTACTGTCTTTTTGAGCACTTAACCCATTACCGCGAAATTCTATTGTATTTACTTTCTTTTTGAGCAGTACGGCTAAAAGCAGAAGACGGAAAATGATTGTGGCTTTGGAAAGTACCAACGCGTTGGCGGAACAAAAAACACTTCAAATTCTGGTTGAATGGGCTCGTTTGGCAGATTTTATAGCTTCCCTAAAAATCAAATATACTGTCGGTAATTGCAGTCCAAAAGTTCTCAACAGAGGAGGCCATTCTAACGGCGATTGTCAGAGGCTTGACGAGGAATTTTTAAAAGGATCTGAAATTTCTAAGTGCCAAGTTAGTCCGTTTCAGATGGCGGGAAACGTGGAGTTTAAAAAGTCTTGACGGTCTAAGTCAGGGTGGTCCAAGGTTGTCGGCTCCGCGGGCTACAAAATTATTTTTGCATAGTTCGCGGGCCACAATAGTGCCAAGAATATAGGTAAACAGTGCAATACAAAACAAACACTTTTATTGTGCAAACACATAGGCATCAGGCATAGTCATTCTAGACTAATAGAATCCGCATTCACTTTTTAGTTTTCTCTGATTACTAAATTGTTAGCATATTATATAGCATATTAAGTTAGATAGCCAGATAACAATTCAGACTGCCAAGCACATCATTCAAATTTCAATTTCGCCAGTTGCTTCAGCTAGCCATAACACTGGTTAATTCAGTGACATTAGTGATGACAATATGTCAAAAAAATTTCTGATTAATTTTATGACGAACAACACGAAACGGAGAGGCTATTCAAATGGCGATTTAAACAATATCTATACCATTCGTATTCTTCGCCCAATAGTTCGATATGGAGGAGGCAATTCGAATGGCGATTGCGACTATATAGTAGTATAAACTCAAAGGCCTAAGACTTGATGATGGCTAATGAATTATGCGAAGGAAAAACATTGAAACAAAGTGACTGAGATGCAAAGTAATGGTAGGCAAGGCCGGATGTAATTAGTAATAGACCATGAAAGTGAATTGTAATGCAGAGTGCATCGGTAGAGAAAAATTTTATAGAGATATCAACGTAGTTAGAGAAATATTTATTTAGACATTTCAGCATTTTTGTCGATATTCGAAATAGCCTTTTTACATAATTGAACCGTATATATGTCCAACTGGATTTGCAACCAACGAAAAAGGATCTTTTATTCTAGATGAAAATTTGATACTATTTTTTTTACGCCATGTTTTATGACAGCATTATAGAAATTCCAACGTTTTCCCGCCATAACTAAAATTTTATTACTTGAATATCTAGATTCAGATTTTTGATTGTTCTTTGCTGCATATTATGACGTCATTACAGGAATAGCAACTTTTTCCCGCCATAATTCAAATATCTTTATATAGATTATTAATTTTCATTGTTCTCTTTCACACATTATGACGTCATCAAATGAAAAAAACTTTTCCCGTCATGAATCAAATCGGAATATATATAATATAGCTGAATTATATAATTTTGATTGTTCTCTGGTGCATATTATGACGTCATCATAAGATTAACAACTTTTCCCGCCATAAATTAAATTCGAATATACATATAAAGTATTATATAATCTATTTACAGCCAATAGTAATTATAATTAGTCGAAAGAGCGTAATAACTAGCTTATGAAAATGAAGATTTTTATCGTGTTGTCCTGCTGTGTAGCGGTGAGCCTTGCTGGTGTTCTCACTATGACTAAAGAGACGGTTGACGACGAATGGAACATGTGGAAAGAAAAATTCAGTAAGTTTTGAAATTAGGTAAAATACTAAACAAGTGCTGCATGTGTACTGTCTATCACAATAATCTGGACAGACATGAAATAGATGAAAATACGGTACTTATGTAGTATGTATGGACACCGGAACGTAGTATGTGTACCAGGTTAGGGTTAGGCCATAATCTGTGGTACAAATACAGCGGGAGTCACTTGGCTAGTCCCCGAACTTGTAATAGAACTAAAATAAGGAAAATTGGAATAAAATTCACACGCCAATAACTAATCGACGTTTGTGTTTCCATTCAGATAAATTTTACTATGATGAGAAGGACGAAGCTGTGCGTCAATACATCTGGCAAAAGAATAAAGAATACATCACCAGCCATAACAAGAGAGCTGACAATGGGGAACACTCGTACAGACTGGGAATGAACAAATTTGCCGACTTGGTAATTTACGAATCAAATATACAAATACAGATCTCTTAACATAATTGTTACATGAACATAAAAGTCCTCGGATCTTTTGTACAAAGCCCTCACAAAAAAAAATTATATAGTGTTTCTAACTGTTAATTTTTTATAGCGTTTCTTACTGGTATTTGATTCACCAAGTTCAGCAAACGAAAGTAAACCATAGATATAGTTAATCTACATTACATCTACAATTTAGCCACAGAAAACGATATCTACTTCAGGGCTTACTTGTGGCCACAGAGAACTCTCCGTCCCCCCTGGAAATGCCCAGGGGCCCATTTTGAGAAACAGCCTTCTAAACATTTCATTCCGCGTTCCAGGACTCCAATGAATTTGCCAAAATGTTCTTGGGCTATCGTAACGCAAGCGACGATAAAAAGAGAGCTGTTGAATGCAAGAAATCTAGCATCTTCGTTTCAAGCAACAACTACGCACCCCTGGCCCACCACGTCGACTGGAGAACAAAAGGCTACGTTACCCCGGTGAAGGATCAAGGCCAGTGCGGATCTTGCTGGGCGTTCAGTACGGTAATACAACTTACCAAATTTAAATTGTTATTTGGGGTCACACAAAACCAGTGGTTTTCCTACACCCGCTTCCTAGAACATCCAACACCCTATCCCATAAAATTCCACCTGCTGCACCTAGCTAATTTTGCGGTGTAACATCATACTTTCATTTCTAACTTGAGTAAAAATGTATTTCAATGCGGCGTATATGAAAGTGACGTATATGTCGCAGCTTTTTCTTGCTATACTCTTTAAAACATCTGACTGCGATAAAAAAGGGAAAACCAAACCAATTTCGATTGCCCTTTATTCTTAATTAAAAACGGCAATATTGCAACTTCAAGTGAATACAACACAAACTCAACACAAGAAAAACCAAACTCGACTGTGTGTCACCGCCCAGAACGTGGAAGACGATGCCTTCTCATTCTTGCATTCGGGGCTAATAATTACGCAACACAACAATAAAGCAATAGAAAATCATCACTTAACACAGCAATAACAAATTACAAATATAGGAAAACAAAGAATCATGAACACGCGGAAAAATACTGTCACATATAAGCCAGCGCAGACGATGGTCATCAAAATTACAAATTGCGCTCCTCGTGGTGGTTCCGCCTTCGCGTAAGTTGAAATCTGCTGCTCAGCTGCGATAAGGTACCGGTAGACTACTGTGACGAATTGCATACCCATACTATTCGTGTCCAAATATTTGAGCATCGCTCCCTTGTTTCAAATCGAGCCCTAAAGCCTTTTATAAGAAGGTTTAATTTTAACATTTATTTTTTCAATTAGACCGGATCACTCGAAGGACAACACTTCAAGGCTACCGGGAAACTTGTTTCTTTGAGCGAACAGAACCTCATGGACTGCAGTAAGCCTGAAGGAGACTTCAGCTGTGAGGGAGGACTCATGGACTATGCTTTCGACTACATTATTGAAAACGGCGGAATTGACACCGAGGCTTCTTATCCTTATGAAGCATCGGTAACTATATATAGTTTATTTGGTGATGTTAAATTTAGTTTGGGCACGAGGCCTATTTTTTCCACTGTTGCTTTTGTAACACTGTAAATATTGTTCATAAAAGGTAACTTTTACGTCACACTCACATGGCCCGCCAGTGAACGTGGGAAAAATGTTTTGCCCCTGATCCAAACATTTTTCCTCCCCAATGCTTTAGAGAGCAGGGTGGTCCAAGGTTGTCGGCTCCGGGGGCAATTAAATTATTTTTGCATTATTTGCGGTCTACAATAGTGCTAAGAATAGATAAACAATTCAATACAAAACAAACACTTTTATTGTGGAAACGCATTGATCAGTATTTGTCATTTATCAAGCTATAACATGCAAAAACCACTAAAAACTTACTAAAACATGCAAAAGTCTTTCTATATTTATATTTAGTGTAAGATTTTTAAACTCTTTCGAACGGAAAAAGTGCTTCCGCAAATGTGAGTGCTTCCGAACATCGAGGGTAATTACTAATATAGGCAGCATTTTTTGTAATTCTGTCTAGGCTGGTTGCAAAAAAGCTCCAGACATGAATTATATTGTTGGACCACAACTTTAATATTTAGTTATCAGACATAACCAAGGCTAAGAGAATCCGCATTCAATTTTAAGTTTTCAACGATGCCAAAATTGTTATCATATATTCCTGACAGCCAGATACCAATTAAGTCTCCCAAGAGCATCATTCAACTTCGATAGATGCCTCATCGAGGCATAACATTAGTCAATTCAGTGACAGTGATGTAACAATATGTCAAAAGAGTTTTCTGGGTAATTTTATGACGAAACAACACTAAATGCGAATTTTTGATTACTCTCCGAATGCGATGCGGGCCACAGATAATGAAGCAGCGGGTCTCATGTGCCCGCGGGCCTGGATTTGAACCACCCTGGTCTAGAATATGTTCCAAATGCCTTGTGCTCGCGGGTCCACTTGTATTCAATGAATATTTATTTTTTCTTTCAGGACGAATCCACATGCAAATTTACCAAGAAAAGCGTGGGTGCTACTATGACGTCATGTGTTGACGTCACACCAAGGCAAAGCGAGGATGCTCTAAGGAAGGCAGTGGCTACTATCGGACCTGTCTCTGTTGCTATAGATGCATCCCAGCAGTCTTTCCAATTATACGAAAGCGGTGTGTATCTTATTAGACCTATTGTGGACCCTTGGATCGTTTTGTTATTTTGTTGTTGTTGTCCTTTGTCGCAGAAAAATCGCCTTTCTCTTTAATTATTCGACCAATTGCTTTGAAATTTTCAGTGGTTTAAGATTTTTTATTTTTGCCAGGAGGGTGTTACTCCTATTTATTTCTAAATTTCGTATGAATTTTAGGAAATCTAATATTTCATCCAAAATATCGTTGTATTATTTTTATTCATGGGAACACGGTTTTTAGTCCGCGTGTTGACTGACTGTCCGTTTTGATTACGCAAATTCTTGCTACGCGAAATTCGGAAATCATTTTGACGGTACCGGTATCGTTAAAGGTAAGGTAGACAACTGCTTCGCTTTGGTCTTCGTGTCCTTATTTTTGAGCAATACTCTCTTGTTTGAATTCAGAATCACTTGCCATATTTGGCGGGGTGTAGCGGAAGGTGCAGTGATATTTAACCTCCATGAAGGAGCGGAGTCCCAATGTAATATTCCAGAACACGTATTTTCAACGTGTTTTTTTGAATGTAACATTCTTTCGCCTTACTATCTGTTATTGTTAGCTAGTTATTTTTAGATGGGGTGCGAGAATTGACAAATTCTAAACATGGTGCTCGGTTTAAAAAGTTTGAAAACCACTGATTCAGACCATAAAAGACAGTTTAAATACTGTACAAGGGTCGATAACTCTATAAACCAATTCAGCGAATACATACATTATGGTAGATAAAGCGTTGCCGGCATATTTTAGCCGACTCAAAAGTTAATTGTTGCAATAATTCGAAGCTGCTCGCGTACCACAAGTTTCCAATAGTGGTGAATAGGGCTGGGCATTTCGAATCGAATATTCGAATCGAATCGAATAGTAAATTATTCGAATCGGTTCAGAGCTAAATTTCGAATCGCCGCCATCTTGTCTTTATCTTTCCGCTAATGGTCGAGGTGAATTCCCCAATTTTTTTTTCATTAGAGTCATATTTTTCCAACGAAATTCTAACATATGACTATTTTCTGTAGTGAGTCATTGATAAAACGTGTTTGTTATTCTGTGTGAGCGCTCAGTAATCTATCTGGGAGATTTATTATATGTCTTCAGTAATTCATTTGTTGAGAGGATCAATTACTATAATAAAGTCGCTTAAAATTATATGTTTTCAAGTATTCGAGATTCGATTCGATTAGAAAAATATTATTCGATTCGATTCTGAAATCACAAGGTTTTCGAAAATGCCCAGCCCTAGTGGTGAACGGTATAGAAAATTAAAAAAGAACGGATTATCGATCTTTACACCTTTTAAACTTAACGTAATAATTAACCATAGGGCCGTTTTTTACATCATTTATTCTCTATTTCAGGAGTATACAATGAACCAATGTGCAGTTCCACTCAACTTGATCACGGCGTCTTGGCAGTCGGGTACGGCACTGATGATGGAAAAGCTTACTGGATTGTGAAGAACAGGTAAGTTAAGCCGAGTTGATTTTTCCAATCTTTTTACTGGGAAAAGAAACCGCGATGGGAAATGAGCATATAGGATTATAACCACAACAAGTGTTAGTTGATACCTTCAGATGAGGACTGTGGATTCGGAGAATACTCTACGATCGACTATGATTTAAAAAAATTTTCATCATCGAAAGTCTGGCATTCCGGTAGTTTTTATAGATGACTATACAAGTCAAGTTTCGGGTTAATATTTTTCAACCAATAAAAAATTCAATCGTACACAAATCACGAGAAAAAAGTTAAGCATACAATTTTACAGGAAAAGGAAAGCCATGTGGAACCAAAACTGATTATCAACTCAGAACAAGGTGTTAAATAGATAAAGCCCATGGGCAGATTTTCTGGTGGCAATATAATTCTACTGCGAACTACTTTATCCCGTACTATTTTAATATCACTGATTTGAGGTCAGGGGTCAAACCCCACAACCAACGCTGAACTTGCAACGCTCAATGCGCCAAATATCTTTCCGTGATAAATTTCCTAACATACCAAAATTTTATTTTATTTAGCTGGGGAGATAGCTGGGGGGAGCACGGTTACATCAAGATGAGCCGAGATAAGAATAACCAGTGTGGTATCGCCACCTCTGCTAGCTATCCGGTGGTGTAAGGAGTCTCTGGAGGTAAGATCATATAAAATAAGTTACATAGAGAATCTTCGAGTAACTTCGAAAAGTTTGTTTTCAATGGCCAACGGAAATTCGCGGTTGCGCTCTATTGTTTCATTTTTGAGAACGAGTGTGGTATCGCTACTTCTGCTAGCTATCCGGTGGTGTAAAAAGTCTCTGGAGGTAAGATTATACAAAATGAGTCAAATATGTTTTACTTGAGACTTGAGAGTCGTTCAAGAATTATAATTTTCAATGGCCAGCTGAAATTCGCGGTAGCGCTATATTTCTGCATTTATTTTATAAGAAATCAGTGTGACATCGCTACTTATTCTAGCCATCCATTGGTGTAAAGAGTCCCTTGGTGTGGAATTATACAAAATAAGTCAAATATGTTGGTTATCTAATATTTACCTAAAGGGCGGCGGTGAGGATTGCAGCAATCATCTCGCACATATTTATCTCCCACGGGATCGAACCTGCGAGCTCTCCCATAATAATCAGGGGACAATGATGCAGCGTATTCCTTGATCTTAGCTCAATGCGCCAACTTCAAACCTGGAATTAAAATTACAATTTTTATTTACACTATATGTAATAATCTGACTTATATTCTGTTATTTTAGGTTTCTGGATGAGAGAGGACTCGCTTGAATGAATTTATCATGACGTAACAATAATGTTTTAATGACCAATAATTTTGCTGTATTTTCGCTTGTTTTTATTATTTTTCTTTTAGTGTCTGAAGCAGGGATGTCCTTCGACTAGGTTTTAATAAATTGGAACAAATTAAAAACGCCAAACACTGTTTTATTGGTAACATTGTTGAATTAATGATTTTTGAATTACAATTTCAGATGATTAATTAACTAATCGATAATTTTTCGTTCTAGAAAATGCTGACTCAAAATATCAAAATTCGACGAGTCATCCTTTGTAAAGTGATAAGTCGTTGTTATTTTCGCTGATTAATGAAACTTTCCTCATTCGAATTGTTTACCATAATTTTTAAAATTATTTTTAATTTTAATTAAATGATTGTAATAACCTATTAAATTTGCTTCGGTTTCGTTTTTTTTTGAGCTAATTTTAATATAAAAAAAAAATTAAATCGAATTAGTCCCAAAATTTTTTGAATTTGGACATCCCTGTTCTTTTACGCTTTCACATTATGTCTGATAAATAGCAATACTGCCTAATTAGAACCAAAATTTTAATTTTTTTACTCCGCACCCTTTAGACACGTGCACACACGCTTTGCAAAATAGTCAAGTGAGTCAAGTTTTATCTTTCCTAATGATTTAAAATAAATTTTATGGAGTGGATAGGGGGGCACTTTCTGCGTGAATACCTGATTGAAAAATGAACTTTGAGATGAATATAAGATTAATTGATAACTGATGATGTGCTGCTTCCCCCATGAACGAAGTCCACGCATCTGGGGCGATTAGTCATTTGTATTCCCATAATCTAACTGAACTGGTAACCGGTTCAAAAACCGTGTTACGTTATATGCACCGTCGGTTTTCTGCTTCTGAGATGCCCGCAATCACTTTATTTAAAGTCTAATGTTCGCGCAAATGTGTCTTTCCCTGTTTTTCCTTTTTCCCAAGAGCCTCGACCGTTATTTCCTAAGAGGCGTTTTTAATTGTAATACAAATGCAATTTTCTGTCTTTTCAATTTCATCGAAATATAAGTATAATGAAAAATGATTTGTGTTTTATTGTTGGGAGTTTGACGAGGTTGATTTTATATTTGCGCTTTGTGCAGAGTTGGAAGGCTGGAGTCTTTTAACTCGAACTCGTCATCGAAGAGATTGTTCTTGAAACCTTTTCTATTTTACTATTTGGGGGCTCACTTGAAAAACTTTGCCGGTCACTGGTTTAGCAAAAATCTTCAGATCGTTTTCTAGATATTTAGAAATTTATAATATTTCTGTTAGACGAAAATAAAAAGGATCGATAATTTGCGAGACAACGTGTCCGCGAGGCAGGCAGTTGAGGAAAATTTACAATCGACTCCGGGCCGGCAATAAAGAATAATCAAATTTTAAAAACCAAAACCCCCTGTGAAAATTATTGGCTACGCCCTCTGCTAACTCCGACTCCGGGGAATTTAAAATTTTGGCTCCGACAACGAGTAATTTGTAAATCTCGGTGAGAGCGTGCCAAACTCCTACTACACAGCCTCATGCTTCAAGACAAATGACAGCTTCGGCAGTCTTCTTTTTTAAATTATCATAAAATAGAACAATATTGCAATAAATAATCAAAAACAATATATCAATAACAATGTAACCCCTGATATACATAAAAAACAACAATTATCAGTTTATAAATATAACATCATTGTGATCGTTATCGTTAAACTAATTCTATTTTTTTCCACTCATGTGGAGTTGCCATTTTTTATTGCTGCATATTCTTCATTATCATTATCATACATAAAAGCACACATCAAAAATCGGTTTGCGTTTCTGTATTCGGCATTTGTATATGAAGACTTTCTTTCGCTGACGATGAATAATGAATCGATTACGCCACCTTGTGGTAGTTATCTCGAGCGAGTGAATTGATTCATATGAAAACCAGCGGTCTGGATCGAAGTATATATCGAGTTTATATAACTTGTTAAATTAAGGAAAATATATGATCCGAATTGCCATTTGAATGGTTTCTTCTATAGAGAACTATCGGCTTAGTATCATAGTCTAATCCACCTTGTGCGAGATGGAAATCTCGCAGAAAAAAAAAATGACGCCATAATGCTTCAGATTTGAATTCCCCCCATTTAAGTTACTAATAGTAGCGCTCAAGAATGTATGTGTACCAATATGAAGTTAACTAATTTTGTTCGACTACTTTACATCAAGCTGTGTAAAGGGACTGAAACCTATAGGCAGGGGGTATATTCACTTGGCCGACACAGACAGTCCCCGAACTCGTAATAGAACTTAAATAAGGAAAATCGGAATAAAATTATGGCCTAACCCTAATCTGGTACACACACGATGAAAGTACCGATCTGTCGGCTTAGCATCCCATTCTCGCCAAAAATGTCGTCATCATGGTTCAGATTTGAATTCCACCCTTAGGTTATAAAGAGTGATGCCAAATTTACTCACTTTAGATAAATCAAAAAATCTTGTTTTTCCCCACTACCGGCTTAAACTTATGACCTCTGTGTCGTACTAGTCCGGAGCCTTGTTTTAAGTCAACACACTATAAAATCCAGTCACATGCGATATTTATTATTCTGCAATAACAGCGTTGTTATTTGTATCGTACCGGAGTAACGATATACCGATTTCAATCGTAAAATGTTTATTGCATGTAACGCATTTTTGCGATAAAAGTTTTTATAGTTTTTAAGAGAGCACATGATGCAATTGTGTATGTAAAAAGCAGGCATAAATTCCAAAAACTCTTTTGGAAATATAAAATTAAAAAAATGGGATCGCTGGTGTGACTTGCAATTTTTTTTATTACATGTTAAAGTTAGTATAATTGATGGACCAAATTTGATTACGTGTGATTTACTGAAACTTTTTTACATTCTGAAAAAGAAGGTAAGGATGTTTGATTGACTGTTGTGGAATAAAAAGAGATGATTGTGACCAACAGTCTCACAATTGACTGTCCGGAAAGGAGTGTACGGCTTAGGATAGGATTTGCATATTTATCCCGGGGTGGAAGAAAATCCGATAAGACGGATTAATCATATGGCAAACCACGGCCTCTCACCAGTCCATGTCGGGTATGGAATTAGGGGATCAGTTAGCAAGATATTTGTTTTCAGATGCAAGGACTTGGCGGTTGAGGAAGCAGTAACCGACCAGCGATTACGTGAAACACCCTACAGCGACGAGGAGTCCAGCAATCCTCTCGCACATAATCATTCTTCACGGGATTCGAATTTTTTTTCGAACACATGAAGAGTAATCAAAGGTGCGGGGCCGAGCGTATTCCTAACGCTTAGCACGATGAGCCAAATCGCGTAGTTTACAAGGCTCCCGGGAGTTTAAAAATATCTAACTGATGACAGTTTCAAAGCTCTGATAATAGGAGTAATACAGTTTTAAAGCGTTTAGCAACTCCACGTGTGGTTGATTATATACAAAACGCGAAGCGCATGGAATGTTTGACAAATCAGTGGACGACGACTACAATGCGTCTACAGCAGGGATGGGCAAGGCTTTTGGACCAGGGGACTGCCGTGTCATGTAAGTAAAAATGACGTAAAAATTACAGTTTTTGAACAATATTTACTATGTTACGAAAGCAAAAGTGGAAAACTATAAGCCGAAACAAATTTTGACGCAATCCTAATAAATTCTTTGAGTTTTTGAACATATAAGTTTGGTTTTAGTTTGATCGTGGCAACATCAGGCAGGCCGAATTGAGTTCCTCAACTGGCCGGATTATGCCCGCAGGCCGTAGTTTGTCAATGTCAAGTCTATAGGCTTAATTAAACTTTAAGATTATTAACTTGACCAACGTGGTGTTGTAGGCTGCTGTAGTAATGCTACGGGAGTTGGTCTCAGATTAATCACCAAGTTAAGTCTCAAAGTCTAACTGGTTCGGTTTTAAAGAACCCGAGTCACTTCGACTCTTCGCTAAATTGTGATTTGAGTCCAACTCGAATTAAGACCTCGCGTCTCCGCAACAGGGGCGTGTCAAACTTTTCTGCTTCACGGGGAGAGTTTCTGATAATGATGCCCCTTATACCTGACTTCAAAAATAATATGGGGGATAGGAAAATTATAGATGTTGTTGTACATGAGAATGAATAAATTGGAGGCCAATTAAGGCTAAAATGTTTTTAATATAATCATTCAAATCATCAAACTAACCCGGGGCGGCTGTCCCTTTGGCCCTCTCTAGACACGTCACTGCTTCACAACACTAGGGTATACTCCTCTTCAACGCTAGCCATCAAATATAATTACTCTGTTAGGTATTGAAAACGAAATTTACCTTTTCCAGTATATAAAACTATATAATATATTTCCAAATAACATCAAAAACACAACATGAAACTGTTTATCGTCCTCTCCTGCCTCGTGGCAGCTAGTCTCGCATCAGTCCTGACGATGACGCATACGGATTATGAATGGGAAGCGTGGAAAGCTAAATACGGTAAGATTTCTTGCTTTAATAAAGTTTTCTGTCCAATACAGTATACGGGTTTTATTCGCTAATATTGTAGTTAGCTTTAAGAAACATCGAAGAAATTAATATGTCACTCAAAATACAATTATTTCATTTAAAATTTGACAGAGAAAACCTACTACGATGAAAAAGACGAGGCTGTTCGTCGTTACATCTGGGGAAAGAACCAAGCGTTCGTTGACAAACACAATCACGAAGCCGCCCAGGGAAAGCACACATACACCGTTGGAATGAACAAATTTGCAGACTTGGTACGTATTCATCAAATGCGAAGATCTAATTATAACGCGCAAGTATTGCCTAGGTCAGGGCTATCAACTATTTTTATCGAAGATCCTCATACGAAACTTTAAAATTATTTGGGTCCGGTCTTTCCATAAATCATATTTCGGCATCCTTAAACGCGCACTTCCTTGACCGACTAATGATTATAAGCTAATCAACATATTTTATTATGGTGTTATAGTTCTTTTCGTATATATTCCAAACTATAAACATCATTTTATAAAAGAAAACTACAAAAAGTGGTGTTAATGATCTAAACTAAAGAATTAGGTGCGGTCCGAATCAAATACTCGAAAGGTCCGATTCTAGACCGCTGTCCGCCAGTAAGAGTAGTCCTGATCTAGGGTATGGCTCATGCAGCGGGCGCCACTTGGATAGGCGCGCGGAACGCTTTATTCGTAAAATGTTTCAATAAAATAATTCCAAATTGGAAATAATCGAAACTCATATTTTTACTCAAATAATAACGTACAAGTATCTTAATTGAACAACAGTCGTTGAAAATTGTCAGTCAATGATCAATGAGGCGCATTTTTAAACGTTGCCATGGGCGCCATTTTATGTAGATACGTCACTGACTCACTGGGTATAATAAATCGGATAGACTGAGTCGAACGGGATGGTTTCTGGTTGTTTAAAAATACCATATAAGTGTCTAGTTATTATACTTTGTTAAGAGTGAATAATTAAATATTTCAAATAAATGAAAGAAGAAATCCGTTTTTCCGAATAAACTTCCAAGTACTAACTCTCATGGCTTATTGACTTTCCAAAGTTTGATTAATCAAAACTTCAATTAGTAATGAATACTGAATGAATACATTTTTACCGTATCCAACTTTAGATAACATAGAATACTAGTTCCATTATTATTTTATATATTAGGCATCAAAATCTTGGGGCAGGGGTAGGCAACCTTTTGTCGCTCGCGGGCCAAAATAAGGGTTGCAAGTCATTGGCGGTACGCACATACTTTTAGAAAATTGAAAACTGAACGGATGATTCTTTTTATAATAAAAATCAAACAGTGATACATTGCATCTAAAAAAATTCCATTTGAATATTTTCGACGCCATTGAACCTTTGCACTTATTTTCTGGGTTTTGTTGCCATTTGTCTATACTTATATGTAAATTATAGGCTCAATAAACGAGTAATTGCGAGGTTTATACTTTTTAGATTATAATATAATTTAATCTTCACGTGTCTCACAATAGATTCTGTTACGTAAAAAAATGTAATCGTCAAAAAATCTGTTTTGTTACTATAATTAAGTGAAGTGTCGCGGGCAGGATTATATTACTCCGCGGGCCGGATCCGGCCTGCAGTTTGCCGACTCCTGGCTTAGGGCTTCTAAGAGGTATGATATCGGAACATATTGAAGTCCGAAATCCTTTGATTTTCAGCAGTCTATTTTCCCGCTTAATCAAATAATTTGTCTTTTCAGGAATCGGAAGAATTCGCCAAAATCTTTCTCGGTAAGGCACGACAAGGACCATGGAACACACCAGGCTGTTCTAACTCAAGCATTTACGTCACCAGCCGTTACTATGGTGAATCTCCTACTGAAGTTGATTGGACGAAGAAAGGCTACGTCACAGGGGTCAAAGATCAGGCAGCATGTGGATCATGCTGGGCTTTCAGTACGGTGAGTAAGGGGTTCTTAAACTTTTGGTGATAAGGAGCCCGTGGAAAGGTTGACTTATATTCACAGATCCCCAAAATTAAATTTAAAAAAATAAGAAGTATCTATTGGAACTTATAGATAATTTCATATTTGAATTACTGTATTGTTGCCACATTTCTACGCTACCGTTGTCAAATTTTATTAATGCCGTTATTGCCTCTTTGGACAGTTACAAAATTAGCCAAGTCAGTATTTTAATTAGTAAACGAATAACTCGAGGAGCCTTAGGTTTCTCTCACAGAGCCATGGGGGTACGTATGGTGCACTTTGAGAATAATCAAACTGCGAACCTTCAATCCTTCACGCAGTAGTGTGATGACAACAGTTCCAATGCCCGTAAATCAATAAAGAAAACTGTTATAGTTAACAAAAAAATATTTACCAATCGGGCGTCTCTCAATTGGACTCGAGATAGTTTTAAAAAGTTGTTATGGCTGACCAGAAAAAAAAAAGTTCTGCTTAATGACTCAGGGTTATAGAGTCGCGAAAAACTCACATTTGATCCCTGATTCCGAGAAGTTTAAAAATAGTTCCAGCTTCAACTCCATATCCCTGATTCGGTGCTCCCGTAATATTCGTACCAAAATGGCGCACAACCTGAATATAGTATGTGTACCAGGTTAGGGGTAGCAGGTTGTGCACCATCTTGGTACGAATACTACTAGAACGCCCCTGATTCTGCGTGTGCCTCATATTCTACTGCCGTACCATTTGACAATACCGTTTTCATATGTTTAAGGATTGACTTCTTGTTTTGTTAGACTGGATCTCTCGAAGGCCAACACTTCCACTCAACAGGAAAACTCGTTTCTTTGAGCGAACAGAACCTCATGGACTGCAGTAAGCCTGAAGGAGATTTCAGCTGTGAGGGAGGACTCATGGACAACGCTTTTGACTACATTATTGCAAATGGTGGGGTCGACACCGAGGCTTCATACCCCTATCAAGCGATGGTAACTATATATAGTTTATTTGGTACTCCCGCATTCCAGTGGTATTACAGCGTTATTTTGATTGGTATATTCCAAATCCCATTATGTTAAAAAGATCCATGCACAAAAAAGTGCGAAAGGAACCTCAAGCAATGGAACTAGGAAGAACGGGGAAGTTCTTGTGAAGTGAAAAGTGAAATGAGTTTTGCGCCTAGCATTGTGGCCCCTAACAACTATTCTGTGGCTAGGGCTGGGCATTTCGAATCGAATATTCGAATCGAGTCGAATAGTAAATTATTCGAATCGGTTCAGAGCTAAATTTCGAATCGCCGCCATTTTGTTTTAACTTTCCGCTAATGGTCGAGGTGAATTCCCCAATTTTTTTTTCATTGGAGTCATATTTTTTCAATGCAATTCTAACATATGACTATTTTCTGTAGTGAGTTATTGATAAAACGTGTTTGTTATTCTGTGTGAACGCTCAGTAATCTATCTGAGTGATGTATTCTATGTCTTCAGTGATTCATTTGTTGAGAGGACCAATTAATATAAAAAGTCGCTTACAATTATATATTTTCAAGTATTCGAGATTCGATTCGAAAAAATTATCCGATCCGATTCTGAAATCACAAGGTATTCGAAAATGCCCAGCCCTACCTGTGGCTCCATCAACTCTTGGTTAGGGGAAGGAACTAAGACAAATTTGAAAAATTGGTCTTATACCAAGAATTGATATTTGCAAACTTTAATTTCACAGTTTTAAACTAATCATATATGATTACATCATCACATGCTTACGTCACAAACTACTTCAAAATCTGAAAATTTCATCAAATTCATATTTTTTCTTGTTTTGATTATGTAGGATGAGCAACAGTGCCGCTACACAAAAAAAGATGTCGGAGCAACTATGACGTCATGCGTTGACGTCACACCCCATGGAGATGAACAGGCATTAAAAAAAGCAGTTGGAACGATTGGACCTATTTCAGTAGCCATTGATGCTTCCCAGATATCTTTTCACTTATACAAAAGTGGTCAGTAACAATTTTATGTTTTTTTTCCGTCGGGCGGGCCTAGTATATGGGTGTGTAACAGGTGGCCCGCAGGCCACAACCCCGCCTGCCAATTTAGTCAGTGTGGCACTTGTCAACACTCAGATTTTCCCCATCAAGCATAAAATTCTAATCCGACAGTTTATGTTTAAAAAAGGCGCTCATGTGGGTTAAAATATATAATGATTTTTGCTCTCGTCGCTGCGTAAATCGTTTGTCGTTTTGCCCGGTGTCTTCCTTACTGTGAGACTGTCAAAGCTGATGTTAACAAACTATGCAAGAACACAAAATTTAAAATAACGTTGAAAATAAAATTATGCATTGTCAGAATTTTTACATTCGATGTGTACATGGAAAAACTAAATTTATTATTTATTTAAAGAGTTACGGCATGTACATCTTTAGGCTCCTTCAATCGGAGTCATCTCGGCAAGCCATTACCGATTTTGTCCTTTATACAACAAACGTGCCGAAGTTAGAAGTAAAAAAATAATCTTTCAGCGTTTGGCAGGAGTTTTTCTGACAATGCGATGGCCAAATAGTCATTCGACCTTTAAGTCCATGCGAGCATCGCTCTCTTTGTTGCTAATAGAATACAGGGGTTTTCAAACTTTTCAAGCCGCGCCTTTTTTTATTTAAATTTGTCAAGTCTCGCTCCGCCTCAAAAATAAGTAGCTAACAATAAGATGGTGAGGTGAAAGTATGTTTTACTTAAAAAACACGTTTAAAATATATGTGTACATAATAAAGAAATGTAAATATCCGGAATAAGGCGGGCAAGATCAAATCTAACAAATATATTTTTTTTTAATTAGTTTCAAGCCTCGCCAAAATATTGTCTACGACATCATCTAGTGCGCGCCACACTGTATGAGAACTACTGTAATAGATTACAGTTTATAATGGCCTGCGTCTAATTTCATTTTTTCTGCCTCCAGGTGTTTACAGCGAACCAGGTTGCAGCTCGACTATTCTCGATCATGGTGTTCTAGCAGTTGGATACGGAACAGACACTAACAGCGGTTCAGACTATTGGCTCGTTAAGAACAGGTAAAATATTGGTGACAAAAAAATTTTTTTCTCGACACAGGGGATAGAATAGCTGATAAAATGTTTAAATCATTTCTTCTGGGTTAAATTAAAATAAGATTAGGTTTAAATGAAAATTAATCAAGTCTATAAGACAGCTTAATTAATATACTATGGCTTGTAATATAAGAATGCCGGCTCCTGTAATATAGCCAGCCAAACCGGCCCATTGAGTACTTCAATCTTGCCCGCCTGATGCTGCCACAACCAAACTGAAACCAAATTTTGATGTTTTAGCTAAAAAAATAGCTCAAGAAATTTGTTGAGATTGCGATTAAATTTAGATTTTGCACGAGGCTAATTGTTTTCCATGATTGTTTTTGTAACACTGTAAATATTGTCCTAAAATGTAACTTTTTACGTCACACTTACAAGGCCCACCAGTACAGATGAGCAAAATTTTTGGTGCTTCCGAAGTATATGTACCCAGATGACGCACACCCTGAACATAGAATGTGTACCAGGTTAGGGTTCAGGTTGTGCGTCATCTTGGTACACATACTTCCGGAGCGCTAAATTTTTAGACCCCTGGCCCAAATACCTCGCACACCACTGATCTAATCACTGTTTGTTTATATTTCAGTTGGGGACTGAGTTGGGGAATGCAAGGATACATTAAAATGAGCAGAAACGCGAACAACCAATGTGGAATCGCTACTTCTGCAAGCTATCCGGTGGTGTAAGGAGCCAACGGTGAGTTAACCAGGTTATTTGTTCAAAGTATTTAAATATTTCATTCAAATTATTTCGAATGCCTAATAGTAATCATGGTGGCAACTTCGTTTTGTTTTCAAAGCCAAAACAACTAGGGGTAAATAAATACAGGGTAGTCGCAAGAAAAACCTGAAAATTGTCAAACAGCTGTTTATTTTTACAAAGAATTTTCAGAGGCAAAAGTTTTTACAAAGTTTTTTAGGGCGTATGCTATATTACATTCATAGATGCTCAAAATGTACTTCAGAGTGTTGTCCTAACCTAGAAGTGTAACCTATAACATCCTAGAACCTAAAAGAAATAACAAGAGAGCTATGCTCAAATATATGGGCACGTAGCGCCACCCAGTGGGAATAATTTTGATGACGTCATAGCGAAAAAAAATAGCCTTCTGGAGAAAAATTTTATCTTTAACCACTGAAAATTTCAAAGCAATTGGTCCAGTATTCGAAGAGAAAAGCGATTTTTTAAAAATGGAGACGGAGACAAATAACAACAATAACAACAACAAAATTTTGAAACGATCGTTATGTCCACTTCGTGTCCAAAAATGTATAGAAAATGAAATCTGTAAGCACGCATTTTATTCGTGATCTCATCTGATCTTCAAAATTTTCTGTTTTTCCAGCGACCATCCTGTATATTGTGTCCCAAGAGTAGACTGTGAAAGCCGCATATAAACAATAATTTTATAATTGCAAGCCTACTATTATTACGGGCAGTAGTGGGATTCAGCCGGTTCGCACCGGTTCTATAGAACCGTCTCACAGGATTTTATGGGAACAGCGAACCGGTCAGCATTGCTGGTTACTGTCAAAGATTTTTTGTGATAGAACCGGGTGAAAAATATGACTTTTGTGATGGAACCAGCTGACAAATAATTGAATTCCCCCACTGATTATAGGTCACCACGTAAATAAAGTTAGTAAGCTAAAATTAGCAAAATTTTAGTGTTTTTTTTACTGTTACAAAGCTCCCCTCTTAAAATATTTCCGACTTATTAATCAAAAAGTTCATCTAACGCGCAGTCATTTTGTTTATGTTTTATTGTCGTCCAGGTTCCAAAAATATTTAAGCGGAAACTAATTTTTTCAAATGGAACATACAATAAAATATATTCAAGGTCTCAGAAACAGAGCCCTGAAACGCCCTGCGAAAAACAGACTTGCTAACAAACTACTGACGACGTTAAACTAATTTTTTCTTACTTTTGTCAAATTTTTCAGGTCACAAAAAGCTACAAGAATCCCTTCGATCACCGTAACGTTACTTTGATGTTTTTATCATTCTATTTTAAAACAATGTCTTTAATTGAAATTTTATTCATTTTTTTCGAATTTTCTCTCCTAATTAAATTTGCTATACTTCTAATTACACTTCTTTACTGATATATGTAACAATACGGAATGATTTTATTTGTATTTTAATAACACAAAGCTGAACCGGGAAGGGAACAGTAACACTTTATATAAAAGGTCAAAGGTCATACTCAGAGTAAAGTATGAAAAACATCGAAAATAATATTCGCCCATTCAGAACGTTGTTAGATCATTTGGGTTGCCTGCTGGCAATAATCGTAAAAGATGTGCTGTGGATAACAGGTATCAATTTGTGTTGTCCTGTAGAAATTTCGACGGGATTATAATTACATATATGTTTAATTCTTCATTGAATAAATACGTGTATTTCAATCTTGGTGTGATCATTGTGATATGACTTGTTTAATAGATTATCAGAATCAGGTTTTATAGCCGTTGCGAGGTAAAAAGCTTGTTAGGAATGCGACAGGACAATAAGCGTTTCCCGAGTAATGGAGGGCTACAGCAAAAAGCGCGATATATTTCATAAATTTAAAGATTTGTTTTTCTTGATTACTGGTTAGAAGTTAGTCAAACGAGTGCTACACCAGGATTTATAGCAATACTTTAAACGAGTATTTTGGAGTATACAAATAGACTATGGCTATAGGTGGCGGTAGAGGTACACTAAAAATAACGAAATTCGGAGATAATAAGTTTAGGATTTCGGGTCGTGCCATACCTGACAGGATTGTACTCCTTGGACAAAACGAGTTGTCACCGAGTTCCCCAAGTTTTTTATTACCACTCCGGAGAACAAACTTGAAAACTCTTAACTACGATTTTCTTTCCCCAACTTGAGTGTAATATTGTCTTACTTTGTTAGTTTCAAGAAAAAAATTCGGCTCCCGAATTTTAGAAGTCTAAATTTCAACTCGGAATCTCGTGGTTGAGAGGTTTCTACTTCGGCTCTGACATTCAGAGTTCTTCAGAATAGAAAAATAGTTGCTATTCGATTTCCTACTATGGCGTCTAGTCAGATTACCTGCACGAGTCGAAATAAAAAACATTTGTATGTATGCACTTCAAAGGTGGAAGAAGACGTAACATATCAGCGCAAAATTTTACACTAGAATCGGAAAAAAATTGGAGTTCAAAGATGGTCATGAATTGGATATGAGAACAGCGAGACTAGGTAATTAATACGAGATTTTTGGATTTAAATGGTCACGAAAGCCCTAACCAATTACCGTGCCAACTTCATCTTATTCGGAGGTGATTTTTCGGCGCTTCAGAAGTGTGTGTACCAATATGAAGGTAACTAATTTTGTAAGGTAACCGATTTTTTTCCCCGTGTTCAAACTCCATTACAAAACCCAATCACGACTTAGTCATATGAGGGAACCACAGACATTGTTTTAGTCATCATTCGTGTGATGTTACAGCTGTATGCGCAATCCCCGGCACTCCCGTAGTGTGTGTACCAGGTTAGGCTTACGGCATAATTTTAGTCCGATTTCCCTTATTTTAATTCTATTACGAGTTCGGGGACTGTTATTTTGGTTCTATTACAAGTTTGAGGACTCCATATTGGTACATACAGCTGTATGCGGGACCCTCATTGTACGAAAACTTGTCGGGAATTTTTGCTGAGAATTCTAAAGCATTTTTGGAGTCTTAATCATCAAACAGCATGTGTTGCGGAACACTATGTTAACTAGGAAACTTGTTCTATAATCCGTTTATCCTTTCGTCATTACAGATGAAATCATCGTTGCCTGTAGGTTTTCAACCGGGAGCGAGTTTTTCAGGAAAATTTGTTCTAAGTAGGAGATTGGGTACTTCTGAAGTATACGTACTAAGATGGTGGACACCGGAACGTAGTATGTGTACCAGGTTAGGGTTAGGCCATAATTTGGGTACAAATACTGCGAGAGTCACTTGGCTAGTCCCCGAACTCGTAATTGAACTAAAATAAGGAAAATTGCAATGAAATTATGGCCTAACCGTAAGCTGGTACACATATACGTTCCGGTGTCCGCCATCTTGGTTCGCATACTTCTGGAGCACCGGAGATTGATCTCTGAGCGAAGGCACCGGTTGCCAAGAGCAGTGACGTATCTAGGTAAAATTGCGCGAATAGCAAAGTTTTGAAATGCACCCTCTCGCTCGTTGACTGACAATTTGTAACGACTATTGTTAAATTTAGATACTTGTAGATTATTATTTAAGTGAAAATACGAGTTTTAATTATTTCCAATTTGAAATTATTTGCGCCCTCTATCCTAACAGCACCCAAAACCTGTCGGAATTTTTGCTCAGAAATGAAAAGCATTTTTAGGGTCTTAGTCATCAAACAGCATGTGTACCGGAACACTAGACTTATTGAAAAATTTGTTCCTTTATCCGTTCATCCTTTCGTCATTGCGTATGAAATCATCATTATACAACCGGGAGTGAGTTTTTAAATTACTCTTACCATATTCCACTGGTCTTTATAGACAGCTAAGCGAGAGTGGATTCTACCAAGCAGAAGTTTTCCGATAAAAAGCATTCAGCGTAGAAATTCCATTTACCAGCTTTCAGTTCCCGTGATGTTGCCGCTGGTCAGTTCATTCGCGTTCATTATAATAACTTTGATAATATTGTCATATTCCTCAAATTACAGGGCCATATTAGTATTTTAAACATATATATGTCCATGTGTTTGAGCATAGCTGTCTTGTTTTTGTATGTTGATATAAGCAAGGCCACCCTTAACAGTTAATATGGCCTCTATGGAGAATACCATCTAAATGGCAATTAAGACAATACAACCACCCTACACAAACTGAATCGAAAAGAGTTACACATGGATCGAAACTATAACGGATGCCAGCAAATACCAGGTATTTGAAGATTTCCAAGTCAACATAACCATTGAAACAGTTAGGTGAAAAGGAATTTCACAAAGCAGAGTTTTTCTGAATAAAGTCTCTGTATGGAGATTCTTTTTACCAGCTTATGTGATACTCCCGTAGTATGTGTACCAGGTTAGGGTAAAGCCATGACTTTATTCTGATTTTCCTTATTTTAGTTATATTAGGAGTTCGGGGACTGTGTGTGTTAGCTAAGTAAATATAACCCCTGCCCATAGGTTTCAGTCCCTTTACACAACTTCATGTAAAATAGGCGAATAAAATTGGTTGCCTCCATATTGGTACACACACTTCTGGAGCGCCGCTTTTAGTTCCCGCGATATGGCCGCTGGTCAGTTCATTCGCGTCCATTATAATCCCTATAATAATATTGTAGTATTGCCAAATTATAGGGTTCAGCAAGCCAACTTCTGTATATCATTGGCCATAGATGTCACAAGGCTGTTATTTACGGTCCATGCTCGGCTGAGCATGACTAGAAGTTCATTTGAGTTCGTTCTACTTTTTTGTATTTATGAAATCCGAGGTATTATTAGGTCAATCCTATAATGCAAAGCAGGTTAAGACGTTATGAAAGGGGAGCTACTATAAGTATATGTGGATCAAGCTCAAACGTGGATAATATTTAAATATGGAGTATATTTAGGTTTGGGCCAAGCGTAGATTGGTTTGATTGGATAGAGAATTCAACTGGTTTTACTAATTATCTGTGGCACGAATTTGAAACGTACATAGAATTTGAATAATCAGGGTATTTATGTTCGGCCCTAGCGTGGAATGAATATATTTATTAGAAAATTGGGAAAATTTTTTATGGGCCTTGTTTGAAGCATAGATAAGCCTAGAATATGAAGGGAGTTTATGTTTGGGCCAAGCGTGAAATGGTTTGATTCGACAAGATGTTGTGATCGGTTGTGAAATTTTCCATGGGCTATGTTTGAAACGTAGATAAGACTAGAATATGGAGTAAGTTCATGTTCGGCCGAAGGGGAATTGATTTGATTTAGGGGGATTTCAATACTTCAAGATGATTTTTCCACGGGCCACGTCTGAACCGTAGATAACACTTGAATATGCATGAAATTTGCGTTCGGTCCAAGATTGAATTAATTTGAAATAATTTATCAAATGACCAATGAAAGATTTCTTTATTCCTCCTGTGCGTCCAGTATAGTTTGGTTTCCGCGCAGGCAATCGATCGATTTTTTTTCAAAACTTGGAAAGTCTAGATTTTTTAATATAGAATTGAATTTATTTTGGTTCGATATAACCAGTAAGGGAAACAGGAGTGAAAAAACTCGCTTACGAGCTGAAAACCATCAGATGAAGTGACATATCAGTTATTTAGAACAGTGGTCGCCATAGTTGATTGACCGTGGGCCAAAATTAGAAGCGGAAGGATTTTCGCGGGCCGGAAGAGGGAAGCGTCCGAAAGAGGCCGATGCCGGTACGTATAATTGAGATACCGATAAAATTGAATTGTGACGAATATGCGCGTGTTTAAACTGTGATAATGACGTAACAATTAGCGGAATCTAGAACGCAAAAAGGTAAAATCATGAGTGTTAATTCACTCAAGTTCGACGGGCCATATTAAATCGTACGGTCCGCGGGTTGGAAACCACTGATTTAGAACGTTATATTCAGAAAAATGAAGCCATACACCACGGTGAAGCCACTGACTAAGTAAAATGAAATATAACCAGAATCATAATTTTTTTTTTGCATTTTAATCGACTTTAAAACAGTTATAATACGACGTGATTTAGTTGACATTACTTTATCAATCTTGTATAGTTTGGTTTCCGCGAAGGCGGATTGGTCAATTTTTTTATATAAAATTTAGAACAGCTAAGATAACAGTTCTCAAAACCGTCGTAAGGTCTTCCAACTGATGGGTCGTGACCAAAACTGGGTTGCATGTGTATTCTTTTGGGTCACTTGTTTTTTATGACAGAAACCTAAAAGTTGATTTTATTTCCTAGTAAATATTTATTGTTTAGTTTGTATTTGATATTGAAGTGTAATTGTATATGGGAAAAGTATCGCAGCGTAAAATCTTGGTTATTTGATAGCCTTGTAATATATATGTATACCCGCTTCATAAACTATTCAAACTGTGAGTGAACACATCCGTATATATATGAAAATCAAACAATGCTCTTTAGCTCATTTAATTCTTATTTCATGGAATTCAAAGCAATGAAAATTCTCTGTCTATAAATAATAGTTGTAGTTTTCGTTATGCTTTATGATGTCACACTCTATAATTAATCATGCGTAACAGCAAAGACAACTAATTAAAATATTTTGGGGATTAACTCTTCGTTAAATAAACCAATAATTAACAGGGGATCATTCATCTCTTGTCAGATCAAAAAGAGTTTTGCGCAAATCGTGTGGTCTCATGCGGGGGTGTGCAGCCTGAGGCCCGCGGGCCAAATGCGGCCCACAAGGAAAAATTGTGCGGGGCGC